GGCGGGAGAGGGGGCTCTGCGGGTCCCCGTGCTGAGTGGCCCCTCCTGTCCCGCAGGCACTTCGCTGGCGGGGGTGACGTACAAGGGCTACGTGGAGATCCCCAACCTCTCGGACGAGAACAACGTGGATGAGGTGGAGGTAGGGGCCGTCGCTGCGCCGGGGCTGGTGCCTCTCCAGACACCACCCCCCAGAGGTGAAGCCTCTTGGGCCACAAGGCAGCCGGGGCCGCCCCGCGTTTGTGCCCGCGGAGCAGCCGAGCAGAGCTGTAGTGCGTGGAAACCTGACTGGCTGCGCCCGCCTGCCCCTGAGCCGCTTGCGCAGGAGGCAGCCTGAGCAGAGTGTTCTCCGTGTAGCTTTGGCGGGAGCAGCTTTCCAGGCAGAGGTGCTGCCCCGAGGCCGAGCCACGCGGGGGGCCCCGCACATGTGGCTTTGTTCACAAGCTGCTTGTCCTTTCTGTTCAGATCAGTGTTGGGCTGGTTAAAGATGAGCCTGACACGAACTTACTGGCCTTAATGAAGCAAGAGGGTACGAGGCTGATCAGAGATGCAGTGAGCACGTACATCAGCGCCCTGAAAACAGGTGAGCGATTTGGGAGGAAGAAGCGTGTCGGAGCTGCCCTGCAGCTGCTGCATGAGGACATGCAGCGGGAGTGGTTGCAGCACTCGTTAGTTAGCTTTCCATCTCTGTTGGAAACAAGCTGGCCCAGGGCAGGAGGCTTCTTGGAGTTCCTTTAGAATACGCTGGTCTCCCAGCTTTGCAGTTTGTAGCACATTGTGGTAGCTCCGTATCCAGTACTCCCAGGAGTCGATAGAACAAGTATAGTAGCATCTTCAATGCCGAGCATGCGATTCCAACTGCGGAGATGGTAATTCAAGATAGTTTTTCACATATAGATGGTGAGAGAGGGACTTGGATGCTGACAGATTTTGTGGGTCAGTGTGGGGGCAGTTCAGCATTTGGCTCTCAAAAAAAATGCCTGATCTCACTTCACATCTAACTTATTTGATCTCTCTGGGTTACTAGCTTTTGTTATACGTTCTTCTTCCCACATACTAACAAGATTTAAAGAACAGATCTTGCATCCAGATCCCCACAGATTCGGACTGAACTAGCACATTGAGATCACTGGTGAGGTTTTGCTGGTGTAATTAAATAAGTTTTTTCCCAGACTGCACATGCATTAAATGAACTTAGAACTTGGATTTTCCTGTCATGCTCAGCAGTTGGAGGTAAACTCACTTGGTTCTGCTTTCCTCCCCAGCACAGACTAGAAATGGGTGCATTGGCAGGAGAACTCATTCTGTGCTGTGTATAAACTCGTCCTAGTCATGACCTTATGTTGTCAGACTTTGCAGCCTTAGACAGCTTGTAGTATTTTGAGTAGTTTAGAGATTCTCCTAGTCCTGACTAGTTTTATTGGCCTATTTCTGTCCTTTTAGAGTTCACCCAAGGCATGATCCTGCCCACAGTGAATGGTGAGCAGACAGAGCTAGCTCCACAGCTGACACCCAGAGCAGAGGAGCGCAAGGTAAAGAAAACATCCCACATCTGATTGTGGAGGTCTGGATGCAGCTGGATAAAAGCAGCTGTAAATTGGTTCTTAGGAAAAGCTTCCTTACTTATAAGAGCAATAAGACAGTGAAACAAGTTATCCAAAGAAGCTGTAGAATCTCCTTCATTGGAGGCTTATAAGAGGAGACTGGGGGTGTGTCCAGATGAGAGCAGTCATCACGTTTGCGCACCACATACCGCATAGTCCAGTGTTCTCCACGTTGCAAGGGTGTGCTGCCTGAGCATGTGCTGCTCTGTTTTTCTTTCCCATGGGTTTTTTTGAACCCTGGATATCCAAGGGCTAAAAAAACCTGCGGGGGAAAAAAAACCCAAAGCAGCGCATGCTAGGGCAGCATGTGCTGCTGAAAAGTGGAGCCAGGCTGCCGGGAGCTGTGCTGCAGCTGCTGGCCAAGCTCTGCCCAGCAGGATCACTGTGGCTGCAGCCCACAGGAGGACCCCAGGTAAGACTACTGGAGCCACCACAGTGCTGGTCCCTGCCTCCCTTACTGCCCCCAGGGTAACTTACACGCCACAGGCATTCCCCGAGGACAAGTAGCTGCTAGTTGTCCACGGGGAACCAAATGTCCACATGTCTGGATGTGCCCTGGTTGTGTGTCTGTCTAGAATGGCTCAGGAACTGCAAATCCTGTATCTCTCGTATATGTGGTTGGACTAGATGATCCTTGAGATCTCTGTCAACCTTTGTTGTTCTGATAAGATTCTTGCTGTTCTCCCTGGACTGTGAAGGAACAGACTCGTGTCTATGGAAAAACTGGGAAATGTTTCTAAAGTGGTGTGTAAGTCCTGAGTGTGTACTTTAACACTGGTTTGTGTTTCCTTAGACCACTGCTAATACAAGCACTGCGACACCTCAGCCTAAATCCGTAGGAGTCAAGATCCCCACCTGTAAAATCAGTTTGAAAGACACTTTCTTAACATCTCCTGAGGAGCTCTACAGAGTGTTCATCACCCAGGAGGTAAGCCCGCATGGAGAACCCAGGGTGCTGATAATGGATCTAGCAGCAGGTGTGTCCCACCTGTGACTTCCTTGTCTGCTCAGCAGTTGAGAGAGCAGTGTCCCACCCGTGCTGCTGAGATGGTCTGAATCTTGTGACAGTAGCTGCCTTGAACACACTGGCTGTCTTGCTCTGCTGGGGGTGAGTGGGGAGTATGGCATCTGAGATAAAGACATGTCCCACAGGACCGGTCCTGCCTGAACCATTTTCCTATGCAGGGTTCTGCAGGTGATCAGGGTTTTGAGAGTTGCCACGTGAACTACAGATTTACAAGCCAGCACTCTTCAGGCACTACTTATTAGGCTGTGTGTGCTAGCGTGCTCTGGTCCCTGCTCTGCAGGGGAGCAGCTGTCTACAGTCCTAGCAGTTGCAGTGCATATGACAGCAAGCATGGGGTCTCTGCATAGGCCTCAGTGCCTGCCCCAGCTTTTGAAAATTCATTCCCTAAGAACCAGGCTTTAACTGGATCACCATCTTGTAGCAGAGAATTGCTTATGAAATAATGTGTCTTTTGCACCGATAGGAGGTGAATAGTGAGTATGAGGGGCCCAGTCCTCTGCCATGCACCCTGGCACATGAGAAAGGCCAAATATTTTTGTCCATGGAGTGCTGGAATGGCATGGCATGCTCAGCTGCTGCATTCCTGACTAGGAGGCCTGTCAGTTTGCCTCAGATTCTTCAGCAGCTGGCTGGAAAGACGAGATGCTTCTCTTTTCCTCATCCTATAAACAAAGACCTTCAGTTTTGGCCCAGAAACCTGTTCCAGAAACCCTTGTGCTGAGGCAGGGGGCTGTAGTTTAGGTGGTGTCCAAGCAGTGGGCTCTGGTGCTTTGGGTCAGACAGATCTTGTGTGCTGTACTTAAGTCTGTTTGCTCTCTCTTCAGATGGTGCAGGCTTTCACCCATGCACCAGCAGCTGTAGATGCTTACAAAGGAGGGAAGTTCCATCTGCTGGATGGCAGTGTCAGTGGAGAGTTTATCAACCTAGTGAGTACCAGCCTGGGCAGCTGCACCTTATTCTGAAGGTGTGCTGTGGCCAGGCCCTTCCTGCCCGGCAGCCTGTGAGTCATCTGCTCTGTATCACACTTTCCTCAAAGACGAAACCCTCCCTGCTGACTGCCGTTCCCCTACAATCCATCTTGGTAACGAAGATCCAATTACTGCTGAAAGGTAGTGGGACTTACCAGAGAACACTCAGGACTGGGAAGGGGGCCTGACTTCTTTTCCTGGTTTTACCCCTAACCAGCCACTTGTCCAAGATCAAGACTTTGCTTATCTCCTCTTCCTCCTTTATGCCTTGTATTACTTATGGGTTTCTTGAATGAGCTTCAGGTTATGTTCAGCTTTGGGCACTTGCTGACTCAGATTATGGGGGTAGTTGAATAGCTGGCTCCCTCACTGCATGTTCCATTCTTCCCTTTCCTAGGTCCCGGAGAAGCAGCTTGTTATGAAGTGGAGATTTAAATCTTGGCCAGGTGGTAAGTAGCCTCAAGAGCTGGACCACAGAGTTACAGCCCTTGTCTGGCTTAAATGAATCTAGGCCTCACTACCATGGTTGGGCTCTGGTTGGGGTAGGAGGCAGCATTCTGGAGCCTGCACTGGTATAGATATCGCCTAGTGATCTCACAGCTTCATATTCCACAGTGGGTGGTGCTGGGGACCATACACTGCTGCTAAACTTCCAGTCCCATCCATTTTCCTGGAAGCAGACAGGAACTTAAGCAGTGTAGAAGCAGCATGCTCAGCCTCCAGGGTAGTGTGCTGCAAATCTGGCCATGAGCTGGGTAGCATAAAGAGAATGCCTTGCTGTGCTGCATTTGGAAGGCAGGCAGACGCAGTTGTCATGTAGGCCATGAACAAAAGAGCTGTTTACCAGGGAAGGCCTGTGGAAGCCAGTCTGGCTCCACAGAAAGTACTGTGCCCCCCAGAGCAGTGAGAAGGGAAGTCAACTTTTCTTAAGTGGTGCTAGGTAACAGGAGAGCATCTCAGTGATTTGCTTAGCTGGACTCTTTCTTGCTCAGTGCTGATACAGGGGCTTGCTCTGGTTCTCTTAGGGCACTTTGCAACTATTACCTTGAACTTCATCGATAAAGGTGGTGAGACGGAAGTGTGCTTGGAAGGCAAGGGCTTTCCTGCCAGTGAGGAGGAGCAAACACGGCAAGGCTGGCAGCGTTACTACTTTGAGGGCATTAAACAGACATTTGGCTATGGTGCCCGCTTGTTTTAACATCAGCTGCTGGCAGGTCTCTGCCCGAAGGTTCTGCCATGTGGACTAATTGGCATCTCATCTCTCGTCTTCTGTTCTTGGCATCACTGCTATGAATAGTGGGATGGCAGCACCCTGAGGAAAGGCCACTTGTAGCCCTCACTGCTTTGTGCATGTCTCATGCCGTGGGGGCATCTGTCACTTGTATATACATCTATTGCTAAATAAACTTAACTTAAAAAAAGAAACCAACCTCATTTTTCCAGCTGTGCTTGAGAGCAAAGGATCTGCAGTGACCATGGGAAGGGGTTTGTCTGGAAAAGCTTTAATCAAGAAGAGTAATGCTGACTCTGTTACAGGTTGCTTGTTTGTGGTGGGGTTTGGGAGCCAGCATTAGCTTAACGTGGCTTCCGTTATCCCCTAAACAGAAAATGTGGGACAGAGTTCTGCAAACCCAATTACATTTCCTCTTAAGGGAGATGAGGCATTATTAAAATCTCTCTCCCACCTGCCTGCGTATCTTGACTAGTCTTACACGCTGGCCTGCTTCATCAAAATAGCAATCAGTAAATCATTTGCTGTCCAAGAAAATCAGCAACCCTCCAGCTCTCCTAAACCACAGCTAAGACCTCCACTTCACTTCAGAAGGTAGTGGGTAGGGAGTAGAAGAGCCTCCAGCAGCCCCATGCCAAAGCAAACTGCAGGCTCCAACCTTGGTGTTCAGGAACAGCAGTGGGGTGTGGGATATGATCTCACAAAATAGATCTTAGGAAATAGGAGGGTATGGTGTCTTTGAACAGACTTGTGCTATTCATTTTATTGGGAGAAAAGTGACTATTCTGTTGGTGGATCCCCCGTTCCAAGGACCTTTCTGTGCAGGATACACGATTTTACTGCTGCAAATCATATGTAGTTACTGGTACAAAATGCTGGTCCGTATAGCCTGTCAGGACACTAAAGCATTCTGGTTTTGCCTCTGAGCTGAGAGAGCTTTGTACCATATGCTGCCTCCTTGTACAGTCCTTCCTG